AGGAGTAGGAGTAGGAGGAGTAGGAGCAGTAGTAGCAGTAGTAGCAGTAGTAGTAGTAGTAGTAGTAGTAGTAGTAGTAGTAGTAGTAGTAGTAGTGGTAGTAGTAGTAGCAGTAGCAGCAGTAGTAGTAGTAGTAGTAGTAGTAGTAGTATTGGTGGCAGCTGCTACTACTACTATTATTACTACTACCGCCCCTGCTGCTACTACTACTACTACTACTGCTACTACTACTACTACTACTACTACCACCACCACAATACTACACGAAACTTATTACCACCGCGACGACGACTACTACTACGACTGCTTCTGCTACTTTTCCGACTGCTGCCACTGACGGTTGCGCTGCTTTCCCACCGCCACCGCTGCCAAGTGCGAAACTGCCTGCAACAGGCCGATGGACTGGGACTTCCTGTCCTTTACCGCACCTCGGACTGTTGGATTTGGCCGTGCTCGAGTGCCAAGCCAAGCTTGAGGATCATGCTTCCTTAGTCCCCTACATCAATATAGATGAAGAACTTAGCTCGTTTAAGAAACTTGACTCAGAAAGCTCCTCTGCTACGACCAAGAGGTTGAAGCCTCGGGATGCCATGGTGAGTGGCACGCATACATTACGGAAGAGCAACTTTGCTGCTGATGTCGGCTGTGGTCGATGTTGTGTCCCTCAGATCATCCGGCCAGCGGATGCCCCAACTTGTGATCGAGAGTGGAGTTGAATGGTAGAGCGCTTTGAAGGCACCGATTAAATCAAGAGGAAGTGCCCCTGGCAGCCAGGAGCGATGGCAGCGCGATGCCCAGCGCCATGGCGTCGCTATACTGATCCCCGAGTCTCGTGGTCCGACCTGGGACTACTTGCTCACAGGGCAGCGGAAGGCCGGTCCTTCGAAGGATGTGTTGAGCTTAGAACCCAGATTGTACGACAGACATGTGTGTTGCATATATGTGTCAAACTCAATGGACAGCATGACCATGCAGCATTATGCAGATATTTATAGGGCTCATATATGTATAGAAAGTATGTATGTATATGTATACGTATATGTATACGTGTATGTTATGTGTATGTGTATGTGTACGTGTATGTGATGCATGTATGCATGTATGCATGTATGCATGTATGCATGTATGCATGCATGTATGTATGTATGTATGTATGTATGTATGTATGTATGTATTAATGTACTAATGTATTAATTTACTGTAATGTAATCTAAGGTCATGCTGTGTTATGTTTTGTTAGGTTATGTACGTACGTATGTATGCATGTATGTGCACACGCATAAAAAAAAGTGTTCAGGGTCTTTGAGTCGTTAGAGGCGGCGAATCGGTTGACCTCATTTGAATGATGTCCGAGCGGTGTCGACCTATCATCCTCGCCTAGACCGTCCGAGTTGCTAGAGTCTAAACCCTAAAAAGTAGACGAAGCCCTGCACGAAGGCTGGCAACGAAGCCCCGCTAGCCAAAGTCCTACACCCGGAACTTTTCCCATGGCTGGGTGGCCTTACTTCAAGCTTTCCAGACCACCATGCTTAACAAACTTGCCCGGCGATGACCATTGCAAGTGTTTATGCAGGTTCATACAGTTCATAAAGACCCGGCATTCCGAAGGCAACGAAACGTTTACACAGAGCTGCAGCGTCTTCTGTTGTTCTGCTCTCCGACGAGGATATGGACTTTATCCAGTTCGCCATGGGCGAGGTCTGCAGCCCGGCTGATAAGGGAGTCTTAAACCGGTTTGCATAGGGTTCTGAGTTAGTTCAGGGAGCTTAGCTGTGATAGCATCTAACCAAGACTAATGCCACCTCCAGTGACCTGTGACCGTTTGCTTGAGCTGTAAGCGAAGCTGGCGCAACCCAGTTTCCGTCAGCCGCCCCCAGGCCGCCAGGTGCCGATAAATGGCAGCAACATCGCCGTCATGGGCATGTCAGATGGGGGCTCCCTGGGGCTCTCCATGGCACCGTGGCACCATTTATCCTCCACGAGGTTTTGCGCCCTCGCCGCCCCTCAGTGCCCCAATTGCTAGCACGCAAACATCCGAAGCCTCCAAAGGCCTCGAGCTCTCGGTCAGGCTGCCTGCCGGGCTCAAAATTGGAAGCGGGCTTTTTTAAGAAAACCGCAGAAAACTAGTTGCGAGTAATTAGGCTTCAGCTAGATGACGCAGCAGAAGAGCCATTACTCGATCTCCTGCCTCAAGGGTTGCGCTTAGCCAAGGCGCTTCGGAATCCGTCGCTCTTTAGAACGGCGCTCCTCGGTGTGAGCTACGGTTCAGGGTTAGGTTTTGGGAATTCCTGAGAGGCTCGCTATGTTCGTGCGATCGGCAGCATTGACGTTCATGTCGCACTTGTTTTGCTCACATACGCTTTTGCGCTCTCGTTACTTTCGGCCCTTTTGACTCAGGTGTAGTTCATTTTGTCGATACCGTACTCTGCTTGTGCCGTCTGCAGCAGCTCTTGGCCGAGCGGCCGACTGCGGACGGCACTGCATGGATCCGAATATTTGAGGCTGGCCATGGTGGTGCAAACTTCCACCCGGCATGGCTTGGTATGCATGCTCGTAGCGAGCCTTCTTGTGCGTAAGTGCGAAGGCAGCAACTGCTCGTTGCAGACGGATGCTGCCAGCTTGTTGCAGTACAGCTCGCAGGCTGTCATGGGGCCACCGGCACTGCATTCGGCCTTTCAGACTCCCGTCGACTTACATTCGCTCGAGCCTGATGTCTACCAATGGCAGCTTGCCCTCGAGCGTGGCAGCGTCCGGTGCCCATCCGAGCTGCGGGTCACGGAATGGAACGGCCGGATTGGAAACAACTACTTCCAGGTGAGCCAGGTCTTGGTTGCAGCTTTCTTCTGCCATACACCCACGGTCAGGTTTCCCAAGCACCTAGAGGAGGGATACCAGGAGCAAAAGGGCCTCCTGAACATGCCTGAGACGCTTCTGCTTAGAACCGCCGAGCATGGCAAGCTAACAACTCCCAGCAGCTGCCCTTCTGACTTCTCGCACAAGTGGTACTTTAGCCATTGTCGACGGGTCCCTGCCTGGCATCATCGTTACGTAATGCAGGCCTTCGTTGTGCCCTACCTAGGCCAGCGATTGGCAGAGCTCGTCCATGCACCGAGCAGGGAAGCCGAAGGCGCGGGCCGCCTGACGATCCACCTGCGGGCCGACGACATCAAGGACCACGCCAAGTTCGAGTGGGGCCAGCCGCCCTGCAGCATGTACCAGCGCATCATCCTGGACCATGGGTTCCGGAACGTTTTCGTGGTTGCCAAGCGAAAGTCTGAAAGACAGAGAAGCACGGCTGCTTGCGACAGCTGGCTGGTCGAGTTTGGGCGAAAACACCATCTCAATCTCAGTCGCAGTACCGGGGAGTCGCTGGTAGAGGATTTTGGCTCGCTGCTTCGGGCACAGAACCTTGTCCTCTCCTTTTCTAGCTTCGCCTTGTCTGCCGCACTTCTTAGCAATGACATCCGGGTGATGTACCGCCGGCGAGATGCCAAATGGGAAAGCATCCTTCAGTCAATCTTGAACTGCGATGTGTGGCCTGGCGTGGTCATGTACGAGTACAACACTACACTGCAGAAGAAGGATGTCATGGACATCGCGCCTTCGGCCGGCGAGTGGCTAGCATCCTTCCCTGTAGAAGAGGTCTCTGGGCCCTTCACTTGCCACTTTGGCAGTGAGATGCAGCCCGAAGCGTGAGACAGCGAGGCTCAACGAAAAAGAATTCTTGAGCACCTCCCCAGATCCGACATCCAAACAAGACGTGCCGTAGGTATCGCACCGTTTGCATCGGAGTTTATGTTCAAATACAAACAGGACCAACAGTGTTTGGGGTGTAGGGGCGGGTAGTCCTTGCAAGGACCCCTCATGTGCAAGCCTTAATTTCCAGAACGACCCTGAAGCCCAGAAGCCTGAACAAAAACCTTAGACCGTCAAACCCTCAGAGTACCCTTGTGGCAACCCTTCTAGTGGCCCTTGCGGAAACCGTCAGAAAAACTCAAAACGGAACCCCCAAACCCCGAGCCCGGCCCTGAACCCTAAACCCTGAACCCTAAACCCTAAACCCTAAACCTAATGCCTGCCTTGTGCGAGTGTGTGAGTCGAAACTAAAAAACCCTAAACCCTAAACCCTTAACCGTCCCCGCAAGAGGCTGGTTCAGGCTGTGGGCTTCTTCGTTGACCCGCGTGGCGATGCTCCAGAAAAGCCGCGAGCATCCTGCCGCACAGTGAATGTTTTCTTCTTTCCATTGCAAGGGTCTATGCCTCCTTGTGAGCTTAGTGATTTTAGGTTGAGGGTTTTGGGGTTTTCGGGTTTTTGGTGGTAGGACTTCAAGGCTTCGGGTTTGAGTGTTCTTGGTTTGTACTTCCGGGCCCTGCTCAAAAAGGGTTTAGCGGTCAGGCTCGTCGGCTTGAGGTTTCACGAATACGCTTCACCCTAAACCCTAAACCCTAACCCCTCTGAGAGTGAGAGTCGGAACCCTAACCCCTAAACCCCTAAACCCTAAACTTCAGCTTGTAGGTAGCGGCTTGGGCAAGCCTTGTCAGACGTGATCCTCGAGATTGCAACAGACTGAATGTGGGCTTCTTGCACTTGGGGATCGCTTGCATTGGGGTCCTTACTGGAACTCCGATCTCGCTGTTAAGGGTGTATATGTCTGTGTCTCTAAAAATAGTATCGCGTGTATAAATATGCACATATGTACTGATTGACTGACTACTGCTAAACCCCACTGCAAGCCAGCCAAGCTGAATGAATGTCCCCTAGATGCCCTAAGCCATGACCGTAATCTGGTCCATGTTCTGCGCTTACACTACTGTGCTCTCCTCACTCTAGGGCTGGTGCTTGTGAGACTCAGTCATTGAGAACCGATTCGGGCTCCCTTCATGTCGGTTGCGTCCAGCGTCGATCTTATGTGCCATTTGCTATGGCTGGTATGGGCATGGTAAACCATACTGCCTTTTGCTTCTGCCATCGCTGCAAATCGCGTACTTCTGAACTTTTCGCCTGAAGCCACATATGAGATCATCCCCTAAGCCCTAAATCCAGGGTAGTACTAGGGAGACCCCTTTAAAGGGGACCCTTCTTGACCAAATTTATGGCTCTCTTGAAAGGGACCATATTGAGAGGGTCTATATCCCCAAGGGCCCCCTAATCCTAAGCCCGACTAAAGATGCGTTCTCCGCTAGTTCTTTCTCTCCCTCCCTGAAGCTGCTCAGATCTTCCTGGAGTACGGCGCAAAGGATCGGCTCTTCACGCCGGAGGCACGCTGTTCGACAGGTTTGCGGGGTTTTGTGTGGGAGTGTGTGGGTTGTCGGGCTGTGTGGCTGTGTGAAGGGCTTCTTGCAGAATCTAAGCGAGTATATGTATACGGCAGTGCCTTAGAGAAACAAAGCACAAAGCCCGATTCACACACTGCACGCAGAAGCACCGTGGCCAATAAAAGCCAGACCACACGGCTGCCTCGCGGCTCCATTCCGTTATGCCATGTTTTGCCGTACCACTTGCTTGACTCCCTGCAGAGGCGGTTGCACGACCGCTCTGTGCGCGGCTCCAGTCAGCCGGGTCTCTTGCCAACCGAACTTTGAATTCATTTTGCAAGACCGACCCCTAGAATCTTTCGGCATGTGGCCTTGCAAGGGGCGTAGGGTGTTTGGAGGCTCGGTTCTGTTCGTGTAGACGAGTTGACTCAACGAGACAGGGTGCACAAGCCTGTGCTCGCCCACTTGTCACGCCATTTCGAGGTACTCTGTTCAATTCTCTATGGTTCCGGAAGCAGGACAGCCCGTGGTAATAGTTTCAAGCATCGCCGCCCAATGCTGCCTGGGGGACATGAAGTAACATGTGTCTGAGCATTTCACCATGTTGCACGAACTGCGGGAAGGGTTGGAATACATAAGGGGCAGAAGGTTTGTGAGTCCTGCTGCACGTGTGGTTCTGCGACATAACACCTGCACAGGGCATTACACTTCCAAGCCCTACAGCATGCGAAGGACACATGGTCCGGGAGGAGTTTTTCGCCGCTGCACTGAGCTTTTGGCTGGCAGAGAAGACCGAGCTCGCAGCGTGACTTGGCACGATGGGCGATTCACGCTAGCTGCTGCGATGTGCAGTGAACTCTGAGACACCACATTCATGAAGGACAATGTGTTCGGCAGCCTGAATACTAGAAACATCCGGACATGCGAGAAAAGAGATTCTCTAGCTCACGAAGCATGGAGCACTTGAGCACACATAGAAAATGGCGTGACGTGGCATCACACGAGAGGCCTAGATCCCCCCAAAACTCAATGGTGTCAGCGCCGAAACCCAATCGGCTCGCACAAGATGCTGGGATGCTAGGGCCGGAGTGTTTTCATGCGAGGGTCACCGTGCATGCATATATGTACTGGAATGTGTAAGTGAAGCTGCTGCATTTTGGGCATCTACAGTATTGCATAGCAGCTTCGAAACCCCTCAGGTCATTAGTAGCAGGAGCGCCACCAGCTTCTCTGAATCACCAGCGCTGACTTTGGTCTTGAGCCCTGGTTCTAATATTTGCGTGGAATGGAGAGCAAAGCATATGCTGGCAAGGACAATGATGAGCACAGTTGTGAAGAAGTATACTCGCTTCCTGCGAAGCAGTGTAATGATTAATGAAGAAGACTCTGCGTCATCATTTGCTTTGCACCTCGCTTCGGGAGATGTCGTCCCGGCGCCACTGGTCATCGAGCCACTATCCATGTGCTCAGTCGAAAAGCGCTGGCGTGCAGGGGAAATACGGCTTCCTGAGGATTTGTCAAGCAGCGGTTTTGTGTTCTGTAGTAGCAGATGACCGGTTCAAGCAACGAATGCAGCAATTCACCGAGCTGCCCGCGCCATGATCATAATCAGTCTCGTGAACAACCAAGCAGTGGTGTAGCAATCTTAAAGCAAGTATCAGCACCAAAATGTCAAGTCCCGAGCCCTCATCACCAAGAGCCTCGCCCGCCTTGTCTGCGAGCGAGTGCCGAAAATTGATATAGATAGACAAATAAAATACATGTGCACATGTACATAAACATACATGCATCTATTTCCTCTGCCTGGCGGACGTCGAGAAATACAGGAAGCTGAATAAATACTTGCATCCATGTTTGCAACAGTAATCAACGATAACAGCTTATTTAAAGCCTCCCTGTGACAGGCTGGGGCTAAATCAGAGTCACCACCGAGGTGCCCTCGGGAATTTAGGACCTGGTGTTAAGTGTATAGGGTTTAGGGCAGGTTAAGGGTTTTGGTTTACGCGTAGTAATACCGCTTTGCTCCCTTGCGAGGGCTGTTGCATGTTTTCTGGCAAACATCCCTGCAGACCAGAGCAAAAATACAAAAGAGGGTTTTAGCGAGAGGGTGCATGTGAAGGTTTTCGATTTGATGCAGACTTCCTGGTGGCGGAAGGGCCGGAGCATGCATGATAAGCGAATTAGTCTGCGTCCAAGGTGAGAGTTGCAGCAGAGACATTCGCACGAACCCTTGACATGGTACGCTTATGGTGATTTTAGGGTTTAGGGTTTAGGTTTGACGGTGCCTATGGACTCAATATCACGTATTGGTACTGCAGTTGTTCCTTTCTAGCTCCTAGTTCCGATCGCGACACTGATGTGATCTTGAGGTTGTTCTTTGCTAGAGTTTGTCTTCTTCGTCACCGCCGTCACGACTGCCATAACATCGCTTACAGAATGTCGATGGTATTCAATTTCGGTGTTTAGTTTTGGAGCTGGTTGTCGTAGCTGTGCTCGGTTGTGGTGGATGCTGGAGGTGTTGTTTGTCAAATACCGGTGTACGATTAGGATTGCGCTGCTGGCATCTAGTAGCGTCGCTGGTGATGTCGGGATGCTTACGATCCCGATGCCTACGTCCATGACGGCGGTCAAGGTTGATCAGAATAAGTCGAAGAAACATGCTTATTTTGGTTGTTAAGGGCAGCAAATCTACTAACCTGGCCTGGGTGTTTGCCAGGTTGGATCGCTGGTGGTACGTGGAGAAGGCCTCCCCACCTCCAAGGGCCCTGGAAGGACGTGATGTGAGGGGTTTTTACTTCAGGCTTCGGGCCTGGCAAAAACGATGGCGAAGCTCAGCTCACGAAGGATCAGTGAGGAGCTTGCGGGCGGTCCGATGCACCTTCTCCCGCTGTAGCCATTGAGTTTCCTTCGAACGTGCCTAAGGCTAAGGGAACTGAGCGGCCTTCGTCCACCAACGGATAAACGGATGTATTCATCCGGAATAAAACGGAAGCCCGGATTGGGCCACGACTTTTCTAGACCCTTATCTAGTAGTGGAGTAGTACCATTGGCATCTTCCACCTTGGTCATGGCTCCTACATGTCCGGATGTCCGATGCTACAGGCCTTGGCTGGGTGCGAACGATTCAACCTTTGACAGTGCGTGCCGGCCGATCCAAGCGTGACGAGCCACTGGGGACTATACTGCCGGATCAAGATGTTTATGTTGCAGCTGTATCTGGCAAGCGAGGGCAGATCACATCTCCTTATGTGGGGTGGATATCGATTCGGACAGCGGACGACGAAGCAACAATCGTCCAGGAGCCACTGCCAGAGTCAGAGAAGCAAAGGGATGTACCTGTGACAACAGGTTGGGTGCGCGCACTGCGCGACTTGAATGTCCGCAATGGTCGCGAGAAGCGCTCCGAGTTGGTGGGCTCCATAGCTGTCGGCACAAGCGTGTTCATCGAAGACTTGCAAGGCGGGAGAGCTCATATCCGAAAGCCGCTGGAGGGCTGGATTTCAGTTGTAACCGCCGACCAAGAGCCCACAGTGACACAGGACTCCTCCGCAGCCTCCGCAGCTCCACAAGTGAGTGCAGCCGGGGCATCACAACCTTCAGATTCGAGTGATTCCAGTGACACAGACACCAGCACCAGTGGGTCCAGTGATAGTCAGGCAAGCCCTAGCAGTGACGCCACTTCAAGCAAACCGACTCTGAACCCGCCCGTTCCGGCGACACAGGGTGAGTCGCGCCATGCTCCGGAGGCAGCAAAGTCAAAGCCTCCTGCACAGACACCTGAGTCGAGCTCCCGTGTCCAGGAGTCGAGCGCGAGCAGCAGCGCCAGCAGCGGAGCCGGCAGCAGAACAGATAGCAACAGCAGCAGGAGAGCAATCAGCAGCAAGAGACTGCCGCAGCCAGTGCCACAGGCGGTGGAAGTTCCAAGTCACGGCGATGTATCCTCGCAAGGGCAGGACGGTCAGGACGACTTGCTGCCCGGCATCGGCTGGTGGCGGGGTTCTTGTTAAGGACATTGATTTATGCTAGCAGCTGCCGTAAAGGATACTCGTATTCAAGAGTTGCAATGTCTACGTTTTCCGTGGCAAGTCCGGAAGAAGCAGCCCTAAACCCTTAACTTTAAACCCTAAGCCCTAAACCCTTAATTTAAACCCTAAGCCCTAAACCCTTAACTCTAAACCCTAAGCCCTAAACCCTAAACCCTAAACCCCAGGTGGTGGACGCACTTGAAGGCCATCGTCTGCGAGGACGAGTCCCGACTCTCCGCGGTCGTCGGCCACATCCCACCGAATAGGACCGTCTTTGTCCAGGAGCTGAAGCTTCGCCGTGTTATGATATCGAAGATACCGTCAAGTGTTTTATTGCATAGCAGGCATCTTTCCTTCAAGTTTAAGCCAGAAGAACTTTCAGCCACAGTCATACTTCTTTTCAAAGCTTTTCAAGCGAAGAGCCTCCCCGAGCCCAGGAAGGACCGGCGTGCCTTCATCCGGGAGCCTCTGGAGGGCTGGATTCAGGTGCCTAGGTTCCCCAGTAGTAGCCTTTTGCCCTTTTTCTTTTTAGGTTCCCCTATTAAAACTGAATAGAAGGAACAAGGGTACCCTTATTACTAAGGGGCTACCCTAAACCCCTAAACCCTAAACCCTGAACCCCTAAACCCTAAACCGCAGGGGCCTTTTCTAACTTGCCTTCCACACATGTGGATTCTAGATAGTGGATGCTCCGCT